GAGATTATCGGATGATCTTGGAATTATGAACATGTTTTGTTTAGCATTTATTCGAAACTATGCTACTGCTTGAACGCAAAATGGGGCTGCCTCATCTGGTCCTTTGGCTCACAGAGCCTCGTCTGGTTTACCGAAACAGCATAACGAGCCTCTCCACAGTGATATTAACGTGATATTACAGTTTGTATTTTAATCTCATTTGTTTTTCCTCGGTTAAAACGGTTTTGTTCGTATTTGATGACAGACCCCAACGTCGTACCGTCGTCCTAAAAGTAATCCACACACGTTTTCTTTTCCTTCCTTGCAGGGGCCTTCATGCTGCTGTATGTTTTCCTTCTGGTGGTGGTTGGCGTTCCCCTCTTCTTCATGGAGTTGGCAGCCGGCCAGAGCATTCGGCAGGGAAGCATCGGAGTGTGGAAGCACATCTCCCCCAAACTGGCCGGCATCGGCTATTCTAGTTGCTTGGTGAGAATTTCTAAGAAGTGGTTGGTTGTGTTCCCGCACGCTGTGCCTCCAATGAAGGGCCGCTTCCTAAAGGCGGTGTCATGCAAAGTATGTTTGGGTTGGACGAATTTGACTTATCTCCCATTCCTTTTTTTTTTTACCCCCCCCCCCCCCAAAAAAAAAAAAAAAACCTTCCCACAAGGCCAACAACAACATCCGTCTGTCGTAGCCCGCCTGAGTGTAAAACTAAGAGAGGATGATGACGGGCTGTAACATGAGAGTTGTTGCGTAACACTTTCTCCCACTGACACTGAGCGTGAATCACTGTATTAACCCAGTCCGTATGTTTATTTTCCTGCATGCCAAATTTGTCAATCTTTTAGACCTAGACCACTCAATTGTCCGTGTTTGCTGTGTCGACTGTGTAAAAACAAAAACAGTGGGTATATAAAGTCTACACACCCCTGTTCAAATGCCAGCTTTTTGCAGCATAAAAAAAAATGAGGTTAATCATTTCAGAACCTTTTCCCACCATTAATGAGATTTATAACTGTACAACTGTGTGATGCGTAATTGTTTGTAACGAAATTGTCTTCGTAGCAAATTGGTATTTCTCGAATAATACCATTCTTGCTAAAATATTTCATAAATTATCTCTAAAGAAGACCAATTCTGTTCACAATTCTTATGAGCCTGCGCAGAGCACAACAGCGCCCTCTGGTGGTTCCAGGCCCCAAATGCAGAGACGGCGCTGTTTGTAAATCATGGCTATGTACTGGTATCTTTAATCCATGAAGTTGTTTTTCCTCCTCAGGTTTGTTTTTATGTGGCTTTGTACTACAATGTGATCATTGCATGGAGTCTTTTCTACCTGGGCAACTCCTTCCAGTATCCTCTACCCTGGGAGAACTGTCCCATCGACGTGGCTGCCAATGACACAGGTAGACTCTGCTTGTCCAGACAAATAATCCCAATCTTATAGTCAGTAAATGCCTTTTTTCGCTCTCATCTACAGTGAAAGAATGTGCGCGAAGTTCCGCAACATCCTATTTCTGGTTCCGCAAAGCTCTGAACATCTCGAATTCCATCGAGGAATCGGGAGAGTTTAATTCCATCATGACGGGCTGCTTGTTAGCCGCATGGACCATCGTCTCCTTGGCGATGATTAAAGGCATCAAGTCATCTGCAAAGGTGAACGAGAAGCGCATTCGCAACCTTACACGTGATCAACGTCACATCTTTTTCCTCGCCCGTCGTTCCAACAATCCTGTGTCGTTCCAAATTTCAGGTCATGTACTTCTCCTCAGTCTTTCCCTATGTGGTGCTCTTCATTTTCCTCATCAGAGGCTTGACGCTGGATGGAGCAATGGAGGGAATCACGTACATGTTTTATCCAAGAGTAAGCGTGCATTCCGGAATGTGACTCATGTGTTTGTGTCAATGTTAAAAGACACACTTGGTCCACTTTAAATCTTTTTTTGTCCCCCCCCACTCCAGCTGGAGATTTGGGGGAACATGCAGGTGTGGCGGCAAGCTGCCACCCAAGTGTTTTTCGCCCTGGGGCTGGGCTACGGCTCCGTCATTGCGTATTCCTCCTACAATCCGGTCCAAAACAACTGCCACAGGGACGCTCTGATGGTCTCGGGCATCAACTTCATGACGTCTGTCCTAGCCTCGCTCGTTGTTTTCGTCATCTTGGGTTTTCGGGCTAAAAACATCGCAAAGGATTGCGTGGCTGAGTATGTATCAAAGTCCGTAAGTTTGCTCGCGTCATTGTTTGGGATCAAGTTGAGTTTGCTGTGACCCTCTAGCAGTACCGGAGAGTCTACTCCATGGCATCTGTGTGTTCTATTCTTAAGTGAGGTCTTTTTATTTGCAGAAACGTTCGCCTTCTAAGCAACATGTGGATCCAGAAGGACCGTCACGGCTGGCCGGGGTTCAACTTGACCGAGCCAACGTCGCTGTCCGTCTCAGACTATCGGGAGTGGTACAGCAGCTCTGGCGCCACGCTGGGTCTCAACATCACCGATTGCAATCTGGAGGAGGAGATGAAGAAGGTGAGCAATGTCCGATAGCTAGCGGCGGAAAAATTGGGATGATTTGGCTTTCGGGTGTGTTGTTGTCACGTTGCATCTGTTTGTTCATGTCGGCGCACAGGGAGTAGAAGGCACGGGGCTGGCGTTCATTGCGTTCACCGAGGTGATGGCTCTGTTCCCCGCCAGCCCCTTCTGGTCCGCTCTGTTTTTCCTCATGTTGCTCAACCTGGGCATGAGCACCATGTTCGGGACAATGCAAGGAATCCTCACCCCTCTCATGGATAATTTTCCTCTGCTGGGACGCCACCGCACCTTACTCACTGGTAGGCCAGTCGAATCAAATGCAAATTTAGCATATTTTGGTACGCCCGCATCTAAGTGTTTTTCTCTTGGGTTTGTTTTTGGGGTTTTTTTTTTTTAGTGTGCAGCTGCGCTTTGGGCTTCCTGCTCGGACTTCTTTTCACTCAGCGCTCGGGCAACTACTTTGTGGCCATGTTTGACGACTATTCTGCCACGCTGCCTTTAGTCATTGTTGTCATCTTTGAAACCATCAGCGTCTCCTGGGTTTATGGCACCGATCGGTAGGTCGTGAATAACTTATTGATTGCGTCATCGACAGCATGCGTTTGAGTCATGACAGATTTTGAGCTGCAAATATTGGAGAGACACATTTATTTTGATTTTTCTTGGGGGTGGTTTCAAGACAACAATGTAATAAACCATCATTTCATTTGAGTCATCCGTCTGAACTGTTAATTGTTAAGGGTGTCCATGAAGTCAGTTTTTGGGGGGTCTGCAAGGTCTGTTTGGGTGTTTTTTGTCATATTTGTTTTTTTTTTTCATTTTTTTTTTTTTTTTTTTTTTTTTTTTTTTTTCCCCAGCTTCCTGGATGACATTGAAGATATGCTCAAATGGCGCCCCCCGGTGGTATACAAATATCTTTGGAAGTATGTGTGCTTGCTGGCCATGATCGGACTTCTGGCTGCCAGTTTGTTGAGGATGGTTTTTAAAAGGCCCACATACACCGCCTGGAATGAAAGCACGGTAAGCAGAGTATTGTGGGTGAAAAGGGGTCACATGTTGAACACACGCTGCGGGGCGAAACGTGTTGTCATTATTTCTTTCTGGTAGAATAAGTCGATTATTGATTGTATGAAAATTGAGACGGTCTTAAGTCGAAACCGATTTCAATTCAAACTTGCATGAATCAACATACTTTGTTGATGTCTTTCTCTGGGCAGGCCTCCGAGATGACTTTGGAGTACCCGGGCTGGGCTCTGGCTATAATCGTCTTGCTCATAGTCTTTGCCAGCCTGCCGGTACCCATCGGTTACATCCATTCAATCCTGCGGCGCCACAGGCTGCTTCGCGGCGAGTCCGTGGAGGACGACGGCAAGGAGGTCGACCGCGACATGTACACCAAGTGCAGCTCTGTCGAACAGCTGGATCTCAGCTCAAATCTAGCTACCCCCGAGGAGGACGGCGTCCGTCCCAGGACGACCTTCCTACCAGTGGGCAGCGAACACTATCGTCTCTTGCCCCAGCAGGAGGAGGAGGATGAGGAGGAGCAGGACACGGGAGTGTGAGGAGGTGGGCGCTCATCAGGGCAGAGGTTGTTTGGAAAGTGTTTCAAGTGTAGGTCCTCAGAGAGTGGAGAAGTAAGACGACACGGATGCAGGAAGACATGGGACAATGAAGGGAGGATAGCAATGGACACTACAGTTGTTTAGCTCAGGAAGCTACCTTGTTAGCAAGCCCAAACTTTTTTTTTTTGAATAAATGCAGTGAGCCACCACTAATCCGAAGGGATTTGCGAACGAGCCCTGTCACGAATAGGGTTTGTAATTGCCTATAGATGGTGACAAAGGACTTGTCAAACGTTTTTCCCTTGGTACAAAGATGCCAGCAAATGGCACCAAAGTAAGACTGTCGTTAACAGAGGTTATCGGTGAACAGTGGAGGATAGGTTCACCTCCCCCCCCAAAAAAAAATGACCAATTCGCAAATACCAAACCACCAATATTTAGAGGTTGATGCCAGTCTGTTTGTGAGGACCAATTTGAGTTGTAAAGAACTCTTTCCGTGAAGTTGAGGACTATTTGATGGATCTTCATGTGGATCCGTGTTTTTTTTTTTTTAACATTTTATTTTGGATGGACGGAGTTCTTGATAAGATCCTCACAAATATGTGCATGACAATTTATAGATGTATTACCTTGACTGTAAAAAGGTCGATATTTCACCAACTTGAATGCAATGCTGTAAATTCTACGTATTGTGTAGATGCAGATTTTATTAAACATTCTCGTAGGCAGCAACTTGGTTTAATTTAATGGACTAATTTAATACAAATCCAGGTACATGCTGTTTATTGGATGATTTCTCACTGACTTTTTGTTGTATGACATTTATTAAGACATAAGGTAAAGTTGAGGTACGCTAATACGGTCAGAAACTAGTTTGCAGTTTTATTTTTAACTGTCTGTATGAGCACTCTGCAAATAAGTAAAAGACAGAAAGTATGGTGTGTTATTAAAACGGCTAGTATACAAAGTGACAATCAAAATGCATTTGTACGTTTTACTTTAGAACATTTTAGAGTCTGTGGCCCTTTAACTTTTTACTCATTTCTAACTTTCTCCAGGTTGTTTTTTTTTCTTTTTTTTTTTTTTTACAAACAAGTGTCTGTACCTACTTACTTGAGTACTTAATTTCCAAATACTTTTGCCAGCTCGAAACAAATCCAACGAAAACATCGTCGTGGCTCTTCACCTCCCAGTCGGGAGGCGCGAGAACGAGCATGCGGCCATGTGCGCGTGTTCTGTGCGCGTTCACGCGAGAGAGGAGCACACGGGCCGGCTGAGCAGCAAGAAGGATGGAGGTCCGACCTGACAGGTTCAAGGCGGTCGCGGCCAAAACTCTGGGCAGAATAAACAGGTATGTTCTTATGTTTTTTTTTTCTTCTCTTTTTGTCCTTCAACTTCAAGACGCCTGTACACTTTCCCAAGCGAGAGCGAAACGGTTTGTCGAGTTGGGCAATCCTTATAGTCTTTGTAATGTCGGAAAAGTTACTTTCGAATCAAGTTTACTCAATAAAACGGGACGACGGTTACGTTTGAGGTGCAGATAACAATAAAAAGTCCGAAGTCGCTCAGTGTAGTGCAGTCGCGATGCCGACACGAGCGCGAATCAAGGTGGCCAAATTGTACTTGTTTGGGAAGAATGCGAGCACAATTTACATTTGTCGGAAATGAATCCTGCAAAACCACTTTCCGTGTTAAACCTCAATTTTCTGTGTATTTATATTAACTAGAAGACGTCATGATGCCAAAAAATGCCCGGAGTTTCTTTGAGCAATCCAAAACAATGCGATGAAAATGACCGATAAAATTGGTTTGGAAAAAAAAAAACCATCATATCACATTCATAAATATTGCAAACATTACTGCTAATATTTTTTTGTCATATATTACAGTCTCATGCCATAGATTCATATGAAATGCAGTGTTTCACATTCAATCGCTAATCCAACGTAGAAATGTAAGTCAATCATACAAAATAAAAAATACTGTATCTTCATGACAAATCAATGCAGACTGTTGCGTGCACAATATGAGATTATTAAAAAAACTGAGAATGAAAATTCAGTGATAGAGGCTCGTTCAATAACCTTTGCTTTAAGCTTCCGTTCTCTTCGGATTTGAGGTAGCGAGCAAACGTATAAATCCCGTCCTGAAATAGCCTGTTTTTCAGTCCAGATGTCGAGCCATGCAAATCCCTAAACTCTCCCCTCCCACTCGCGCCATCCTGGCCCATGTCACTTCCTCCGACCGCTCCCTCTTCATCCATCCCGCCGTCCATCCACGGAGACAACTTTCATCCTATCACGCTCGCAGATTAACAGACATGCACATTGAAAGGCGATCCTTTCTGTCCAAATGGGCGACATGCAAGGCAAATGTACCTATGCACGCGCCAACACATCTGGATGGATGTGTATGTGTGTGTGTGCGTGTGTTGTGAGGAGGGCCTCCCCCTTGCTTGCCTCGCTGGAGTTGGAGCAATCTCACCGGCTCACAGACAAAAGCGCGATCCCTCCATGATGAAGGCAGCCGGAAGTTCATTTATTATTTAAAGATTCCCTCCATCAGAATGCATCTCCTGTTTCTATATTAAACGCCACTAGGTAAGCGCAAAACAGCACCGCTGTAAACTCAAACGTACGGCTTCCTCTTACGGTTCACCCTTTCCATCTAAATAACATTACCGGCGGTGGGCAGAAACAAATTGTTCTTGATATCAAACCCACTTATGGTCTTTTGACTGCATCCCCATTTCGAAAGTTTCCCCAACAAGGCCCTGTGGACGGGCCTCCGGAAGGAGAGCTTAGTTGCGGCGACGCACAAGGCAATGCAGAAAGTAGCATGTAATCCATTTTTAATCCACTTTACATCCGCAGGAGTGCCACAATTTCATTTCGGATGCAGAGCGGCTCGGTGCCATTGTGGCATTGATAAAATATTCAAATTACAGTGGGACGTCTTAATTATTTTTTGATCATGTTTGCCACGCTTTAGGCCTAATACTTGAATCGTTTTTTTTTTCCCGATGCAATACAATGCAGTTTAACCTTTTTGAAAAAGAAAACAATTATAATTCCAGAAGGTGAAGTGCAATACCTATCTCGTCATCCATCCATCCATCCATCCATCATCCACACATTCATGAGCTGAACTCGAAGGTGTACGCAAAAGACTTCTTTCGCTCAAATATCGTTGACAAATCTGTCTAGATCTGTTAATGAGCGCCCCTCTTTGCGCGAGACAACTCCTTCCGTCTCACGGGTGTGGCATATGACGATGCAGATTAGAAATCGTGATTATTGCACAGGTGTGCCTTCGGCTGACCACATTAAAAGGTCACTCCGAAATGTGTCGTTATATCTCCAAAGGCGTGTCCGAGAAGTTGACTGCGTGTAATCATGCCTGCCCATGACCTCCACCTCCAAACACATTTGAGATTGCTGCTGCAACAATTGGTTTACATGACCCATTAGAAACGTATTAATTGAATAACAGCTTTCTTATTGTGGTTGGTCGCTTGTATCGATGCAGAACTGCACTGCATCGTTTCTGTTTCTGGCCTGTTTCCGTGACTGTGTTTTTTGCATTCTTATTTTAGCTCAGTGACAGAGGCAAAGAAATGAATTTCTTTGCGATCGATTGACCTTCTGTCCACATTTAAGGCTGCCATGGAAGGCATTATCAAACTCCGGCAGTTCATATACGTGACGTCCGTCCCGTGTGTGGAGATTAAAAACACTGTGACACGCACACATGGAGATTTCAGACGAGAACAGGCCAGAACATTAGTTCATAATTGTTCATCAGTTGGGCGTGATGAATGTACGGTTAAACTGTGTCAATCAACGCATTTTTATCTTTATACAGATCATTTTGGTACATCGGATCGTGCGAGTGTACCTAATGAAGTGTCTGATGGGTGTAGAATTAAGGATTAATTAAGATTGTGTTTTTTTTTTTTTTTACGGGCAGATTATTTAGATCATGGGGCATATGTAAGAATACATGTCACGGATGTATGTTGACGAACTAGAGGAGGGAGAGGGGGTGACAGGATGAGCAAGGGGAGGGTGTCTCCCCGGGTGACACATTCCCACCGAGACCCAATCTGTTCACTTCAGGGAGAGCGCATGGCCCACGGAAGGAGCGCCAGAGATGCCGCGGCAGAGGAAAAAAAAAAATCTCCAAATAAATCCCTCGCCGCGTTCAAACTGTGAAACGAAACCGTGTTTGACGATGAACGTTTACATTGGGAGAGCAATGGCCGATCAATTGTGCCACACGGCGACTAATGAGGAATAGCGTCTGCCGTTATATAATATATTTGCTGTCAGCCTCCCTGGCTGTCTCTCTCCCGCCGTCATCCTCTTATGAGAGGATTACAGGGAACACTCAGCGAATTCATGATTTAATATACAGGAGAGCAAAGGTCATAGGTCACGAGCAAACATGTGAGTCATGGCCGGCCTTGTAAAATTATCTCCAGGCAAATAAGACCACCGATAGGTAACCATTTTACATCTTCAACAGGCATTTTGATGGTATTGGAATAATGTGTTTTTTTTTTTTTTTAATTATCACTGCGGTCTACAAACTAAAACCATCCGTCTTTGTTTCAAGTTCCGACGTTATACTATCAGACTTTTGTTCATTATCTTCTGATCTTTGTTGATCCATCCATCCATTTTCCGATCCGCTTATCCTCACACGGGTCGCAAGCATGCTGGAGCCTATCCCACCCGTCTTCAGGCAGCAGGCAGGGGACACCCTGAACCGGTTGCCAGCCAATCACCACAGGGCGCACAGAGACAAACAACCATCCGTGCTCACACTCACACCTAGGGACAATTTCAGAGTGTTCAATCAGCTTGCCATGCATGTTTTTGGAATGTGGGAGGAAACCGGAGTACCTGGAGAAAACCCACACAGGCACGGGGAGAACCCTTAACAGTAAGGAGGGCACTTGTAGTTCCTTATCTGACTAGAATGGCACCCAGTAGAGTGTAGCGCTGTCGTCTCTACTTTACCTGGATTAGACTCTAGTCCCGCCGCATGACGTCCTCAGAAGTTGAATCCGAGTTTTTAAAGTGAGCGTGCAAGGACTTCTGCTGTTGGAGAGTAGCGCGGAGTGCCTCCAGGCTCTTGCTGTTGATGTAATTATGATTTTTCCAAAGGACCCGAGGTCAGAGGCCTCCTACCTGGCTCATTAGTTGTGACCATCTGAGAGCGAGTGGAGGCAGCTCCTCGCTCTTTGCTAACGTGATGACACGAGTACGGCGGCTCCAATGGCTCGCCTCCATCGCCGGGGAACATTCTTTTGTCTTTTGGGATCGGAAGAGGGTGTGCAACATCTCGTCCCCGAGCAGCAATGAGTGTCATCGACCCTTATTGTGCAACCGTTGTCACGTTGTGAACGCTCAACGCAAATGTTCTCAAAATCGTTCCCATTCCTGCTGGTATGTAAGTGAACTGTTTTGGGACATTCGCAGACGAGGCTACACCACGATTATCCTTGAGTGTGAAGCAGCTGTGACGAAGAGTCATTTTAGCTGTGGGCTAACCTCGTTAGCCGGTAGCATATGTGTAAGCGTCAGGCCGCAATCTGTCTCGCCAACTAATGAGGATGCTTCCGTCGCACTTGATGTCGGCTTTCAGGGATGCCGTTCGGCACGTTGCTTGCACAGGAGAAGGCAGCGGGGGGGTGATTCATCACTTGTTATTCATGATAATATATACACCTTCCTGTAACAGACTTCAAACTGTCGAGTGGATCGAGTGCGGGTCTGATTTCAAATTGGAATTTAAAAATAACTATGATTAACTACATAGAATTGATCTATAAAGTTGAGCAGGTATATGGTGATCTCTTTTGGGATGATGGTGGAAGTCCGCAATTAACTTTGTGCCATTGTGTGAATAAATATCATCTTTATTGATTCATATTCACCAAATGTGTGGATGTTGTGTGAAATTTGCAACACTTTAAGGTCCTCGTTTAATTTACAGGGCACTCGCGCTAACGGCAAAGCTAAAAAGGCCTTTTGACAAATGTGGGATGTTAGAATTGAAAGCAAGAGCCAATGCAAAGTCTAAAATTGAGGCCACAATACATTTCTGTGTCGTCAGAATGAAACCACGCCCCGCACGATTTTGCCACTCCGTATTCATTTCCGGAAGTAAATCATTTTTTTTTTTTTTTTTTTTATAATCCTAATCTCAGTGTGGTGGCAGATTAAGAGGTAGAGCGAGTAGGAGGCAGGATGCCGATGGAGATAATCTCCTAAAAATTCGAAAATTCTGCTTTACAAAGTAAAATATCATTCACACCTTTTTTTTTATTTTTATTTGGTAATGCCCATATCTCCAGCGCATTGGAAGAAAAAGAAAAAGTGACGCCACGCCGAGCCTGCAATAAGAGACCTTGGAGAGGGAGTGAACTGTAGATGTTAGCAAGAAATACGCCGACGGACAGCCATGCGGGCGGATGGATGCGTAGTGACACGTTACAGTATAAAAAGCTGTGCTGAATTATTTATCTCATCCAAAAACGCATCAATAATGAACCAGTGTCAGAATGCGACTCGCCCCATGTGGTATGTGTGTGTGAGAGTGTGAGTGAGTGAGAATCACGCAGCAGTGCTGAGTGCATGAGAAAAACAATTCATTTTACCACCCTTTATCGTTCCTTGCATTAAAAAAAAAAAAAAAACAACTGCAAATACACGAACGTGTCCTTGTGACGATTGCACTCGTTCCTATACATCACTGTCCAGCTCACTGACTAACTGGATCAAGCCCAATGGAAAGTGCGCACGTGCCGCACGAGTGCGCGCAATGCGGGTGTGCGCACGCACATTTCAAAAAAAGAAATAAATGCAGTCACGAAAAATAAAGAAAAAAAAAACATATGCTGTGTATGTTGCGTGTGAATGTTGTCGTAGACAGAAGTCTGCTTCCTGCTGACTTCGGTGGAAAATAAAAATGGACGACAATGACCTTGTGAATCTTTAGGGATGACCTCTGAGCTTCTTGAAACTGTCAAACTACAAAGTAAACGGTCAACGCTTACAAGTCATTTATCGGGTGTCGTTTCCGTGCAGGTTGATTGACAAGCGGCAGCCCAATGGAGAAACCATCGAGCTGTCTGCCGAGGGCCGTCCCGAGCTGGTGCAGGAGAAGGAGCTGCCCGTGGTGGACTGTACCTGCTTCGGCTTGCCCAGGCGCTACATCATCGCCATCCTGTCTGGCCTGGGCTTCTGCATCTCCTTCGGCATCCGCTGCAATCTGGGCGTGGCCATCGTAAGCATGGTCAACGACCACACCGTCTACAAAGGCAACAAGGAAGTGCTTGTGGTAAGCGCGCACCCGTTCCTGGCGTCTTATTTAATTTTGCAGGGTGTCCCAACGTCATCGCTGCCTCTTCCTCAGGCTGCACAGTTCACTTGGGATCCGGAGACAGTGGGCATGATCCACGGTTCCTTCTTCTGGGGCTACATCGTCACGCAGATCCCCGGAGGTTTTATATGTCAGAAATTCGCAGCCAACAGGTGAGCGGTCTCACGCGACTCATCGACTTGACACCGGTCAGAGTCAAAACAGTTGCTCGTTGCTCAACGTGAAAATGAAAGTCGGCTCTCAGTTACGCAAGTTTGGTGAAATCTTCTCATTCTGCCCAACTGCTGTCATTGTTCAAGAAGTGGCCATTTTGTTTTGCCCTTTGTGTTGTTCAAGAGTGTTTGGCTTTGCCATCGTGGCCACGTCCACCCTCAACATGCTGATCCCATCTGCCGCTCGCTGCCATTACAGTTGCGTCATACTGGTCCGAATATGTCAAGGCCTTGTTGAGGTACAGTGTGTGTCCAAGTGGGATTTTTTTTTTTTTTTTTTTTTTTCATGAATTGCCTGAAAACCCCCGACCCCTT